TGGAGAAAGCACTGCCAGTCATCTAGTCCTACTGCAAGGAAATACGGAATACTGAACACACCTGGAAAGCACTGAATGGCAATGGAAGGGTATACAGCCTTCTCGGTTTTTAAACACTATTTGGGGTGAGGTCAGTACTATAAAGCTGTAAATTGGTTACATTATAAGTAGGCTATTTCTATAATACTGTAATATAGGCAGAGATGCAATAGAAAACAAATATCAGAGTTTAAATTCTGCTCATTTTTCTACATTATGGGGGAAAAGTGCTCCTTCTGTGTATTGTCAGCAAAGAATATTAAATATCTGATTGTTTCAGACAGGGCTAACACTTCCATTTATACTCATTTATCACGAAGAAAAGAATTCCTGAGCCTGCAAAATCACCAAACAAAAACCAAAACCATAACAACAAGTAGAATGAACTGTGATCTACCCTTTTAAAAAAAAATTAGATTGAGATTTGACAATTCTGAATCCTTGCAAAACAGATTTGAAACCCTTACTAATGCAGAAATATAGCACTTACTGTACCTCTTAGAAGACAGTTGTGTTGTGACTTGAACAGCTTCAAAAGCACATGATACCAGAACAAACGGGATTACAACCTGTTTAAAACACAAGCTACATTTTGGTTCGTAGTCATATTTACAAAACAACCTGTCAGGTTGTGAAAACATTTTCCCACTTTTGAAATTATCACAGAATGTGTATGCTACAAAAATAAAACATTGGCAAGAAAGGGTAAAAACTCATTTAGCAGGAAGCATGTTGAGTAAATGAGTAACCCCCCTTCCATGGTCATAGCTGAACTGCCGTGAAATAAGCCATGAGGCAATATGGAAAACTATAATTAAAACACATTAATGATCCTCACTTCATTTATCCATTTTAGCACTAGTGATAAATACTTCAATAAGGCTGGAAGACAGAACTATTCAGATTCAGTATCTCATGTGACAGGCTGCAGAGCTCCAAGCATAATAGGACAAGCTCATCTCAACCACAAAAAACACCCTAAATATAGAATGTATTCGGCAAGGCAAGGATCACACTGCCCTTCCAAAGCCAAGTCAAGCAAATGTAAACAGTTCAGTAAATTAAGAACAAAACAAACAAACAAGGGAGAAGCCTGAATATTTCCTTTTGCTCTTTCCAAAGTTGACTTGCAATCCCTAAGTTCAGAGTGAAAACGTACTGCTAAAACCTGTTCCTCTCACACCCAGAAGGTTTGCGTTACTGACTTACGTCCTGCAGTATAACACACTGTATACCTCCACCTTAAGTCAGCTGTCTCTGGGACAGCAGCAGCAGAAAGGTAGAGGCAGGAAACACTGTTTTAGCAATATCCCATACATACCATGCCTCCCTTCCTGTTTGCCTCTTTACCCCTCTGGCAGATCCTTTACTCAAATATTAGAAAAGAGCTCCCCATGCCTTGTCTGCAAGCAAGAACTGCAGTCCAATATTTGATAGACTATTAAAAATTATAAAAGTAATATTCCTTGTAAAATGACAACCTAATCAGTAGAGCATTCAAAGCCTGTACTTAATGTAATGTAGATAGAGCTAATAAAAATATATATATATATCCTCAACGTTTCTGTAGATATTATACTACAGGGGAATCTTTCATTTTTAAAAATAATTTAGGTATTTCAAACATTTAAAATCTCCATTTTAATATGATAAACCGATCTAATGCAGTTAAATTATACTTTCATAGACTTCAGCTTCACTCTTCTGGGAAACAGAAGGATCCGTCTCTAGAAACACTGCAAAGGCTGAAAGCTTCACACATGGTTAAGAAGGCTAATGAATTTCAAATACATATGTATGTTTTTGTAAACTGCAAAGTAACAGCCGTGTACATGGTATGTTATTTATTAAACAGTTATTTGAGAAAATTTCACTACAGTAAGTTTACTAACCTTTAGCAAAAGCAAGCTTCCCATCATGAAGGGACTGAACACAGTCAAGAAACAATAGACAGAAGCAGGATCAAAACTAGAGAAACATGAAAAAGTCATTACAATATACCCTTGAAACAACATTTTCCATTAAAAACCCAGAACATTCAGTTACTCCTGCAACTCACTGTGCATATATACATTTTTAAACAAGGCTTCCAACTTTCTCTTTTCTTGCTCAAATATTGAATTAGCAAGGACAGCCTACCACACTTCTCCTCCTCTACAATTTTTCTCTGCCCATGTCTTTGGAGGTGCCACGGTGCTCGTGAGCCACCGAGCTCCCCCTGCTCACGCTGCCAATAATTTCTAATGGAAATTGAGACAACCTCATATCCAACAAGCTCAGGCTCTTAGGAAAGATGTTACAGAGAGCAGAAACGAAAGGAACTGTTATCAATATTCCACTGACTACTGTTTTAATTCTGCTGCTCTGACTCTGCTAAGCACATTTGTATTTAGTATGCCAACTGCAGGAAGAACTTTTTGTACCCTGTGTCTCAAGTCAATGAATAAAATTTACCTGTTTACAGAAGCTATGTTTCCAGTGCCAAAAAAGGCTGTCACTATGAAGAAAACCTAGATGTATTTAAGGAAAACATACCACAAAAATGGATGCATTAAAACAAACCCACCATTCCTCTCACTTCGTGCCAATTTACTTGCAAAATCCTGGCATGAAACAACAAGCTGACCCACGGTTACAGCTTTACACTGTGTTAAGAAATCCGAAGTCTTGGCTAGCTCTACCCAAGATTTCACACATGACTATGGCAATTTTAAAAGTTAGGGACTGTCTGGGTAATATTTTAGAGCCTGTCTTGAGGCCCATGGCAGAAAGCTGCCACTTATTTTCTCAGGCCCCTACCCAGCAAGACAGGAGCATCCCTTGACCACAATCCCAACTGTACATTCAAACATACCTGGCTTTGCAGGAAGTAATGACATATGCACACCAGAAGAGATGGCTTTATTGAAGAGTTGACCATGGAAGAAGTAGTTGGCTATGAAACAAGACTAAAGGTTGCCATGCCATCCCTCCCATGGGAGTCTAGCCATTGCAACACAGGACTCCCCACTTTTTTACTTACCTGAGGGAGGGAGGATGAGTCAGGCAGTATTTGTAGAGCTAGAAGGTTTTTTTATAAACCATACCCTTTTCATCTAAGTGCAACACTTGCTGCTGTATGAGCCCCTGAAAAGTGGTTTTCTATCTCCTGAGCTCACTGGGGTTCATTATAGCTCACATCTCTTCAGTCGAAGAACGGTTTTTAACTGCTTTTTTGCATCCGGCAGAAGGTTAGTCAGTGACGATGGCTGCTCCTGCCAGAGCTCTCTCTGCTCCTTCCACTCCCATTATAGCTTCGGCACCGGATCATTTAAGTCTCTGCATAAACAATTTGCTACCAACTGTTCAACAGAATCGTTGGGATTCTGCATGCAGTATTTTGGAAGGATTAGGTCAGCATAGCTAAAGAAATTATGCTTCCCAAGAGTATTGCATCATTTCAAGTTTAGTAACACAGCAGTCTAACAGCAAAGTGCAGTTCTGCCAGTTAAGGTTTGTAAGAACAACAGTTCTGCAATCAAACACAAAAAAACCAGTGGCACATAGGTCTAATCAAAGTGCTAAGTATAAGCAACCTGAATCTTCTTCTGGAAGATCAGGCTACAAGGTCCTATCGCACATGCTGACTTCTAGGCCCTGCACAGGAACCTGGAGACAATCTTTATACAGCTCAGTGGGTCGTGGTTGCAATGTGACTTCTCTAGTAGAAAAGGTTTCTCTTCTAATACCACTATTTCTAAACATTAAACAGCATCTACATGAAAAAAAGCCACAACATTTTTTGAGCAGGTGTGTATCACACCTGCTGTCTGCAAAGGAGACCTGGAAATTCTGTATTTTTTCAGGAGCTAAGCAAAATACATTCAGGTGTTTTACACTACAATGAGATTGAAGTAGTGCTACATTCAGGTGTTACATTACAGTAGCACTATGTTGGAGCTTTAAGAAATACAGTTGGACAATTTGATTTTTGTTGTGGCTGATTTTTAGCATCTGATAGAAGCAGCTTTACTGAAAGTTAGCTTATTTTTTGTTAAAGTAGCCAAAGAGCAAATGAAATGGATAAATTTACTGCAAGGTCAATTTATCAGCTACTTTTCAGGTATACTCTAAAGCAAAACACAAATGTTCAAGACCTAGCAAACACTTTTGCCTCCTTCCTTAGTGCCTTGTTAATGAGGTATCTCTCACAATTCCTCTGCTGCAGGTTCCCAATATCCAACAGCACTGTCCCAAATTCCAACAGCATAGACTCTGCGACTCAGATTTGGTTACTCTAAGACCTATAAAGCCTGTTTTTGCAGGAACCAGTATTGAGACAGTTCCCTTAGGAGCTCCAGCTGTGATAACCCACCTGCACTAGAAACCCATATGCTCTTGACTGGATCATAACTTTTCTCCCACTTGCACACCCATCACCCTTGCTGCCAAATCCCTCTCACTTAACGGCAGTACCACGATGGAAGAGAAAAATGACAATATTATTAAGTCTGTACTGTATTAAACAAACAAACAAAAGATGTAGTTTCAGTTACAGTAACGCAAAATAACTGCTATGTTAGTGAGCAAACAGCTCTTCCCTCCCAAGCATGTATCATTTCTAACAGCAGAAATCACCTGTAATATAAATAATTCTAGGCCAGATTTTGGGAAGATGTTTCACCAAGGGTCTGCAGAAACTTCCCTTCTCATCTCAACTGCCTGGCCATGGCCAATGCCTGCCCACTAAGCTCTTCTTGCTAACACACTGCCATACTCTAAAAATGACAAAACACAAATAACTTTAATAAATCACCTTTTCCAACTGATTTGTGAAGGTTGAATGAGTTCCCTTTGGTCAAAGCCTATTAAAACAAAACCAAACTGGAACCAGGACTCCTTAGAAAACCATAATGGTCATAAAAGACAAACTTTTCAAAGTGCTCAAGGAGCCAGATTCAAAAACAGTGCAGTTTGTACTGAATATTTTTACTACTTTATCAAAAAATATAATGTACAAGACCACTGCCTTTGGAGCAACATGAGTCAAATCATCTTCACCAGCTTCTGTTTCCAGTAGCTACCGGACTACAAATTTCAGTTGTGGGGCCTTTTGAAACAAACCCATCTTTTCCCTGGAATTCAGCAACCGGCAAAAGGATACGAAGAAGAAAGACCTGCGGACGTCATCTAGGTGGAGCTGTCGAAACTGAGTTATATCAGTGGCATAGGCGAAGTTGAACACAGTAAGCTGGAAAGAGAGCAGAAGAAATCAATACGGAGTACCAACCGATGTACTTTGGTAGAGCCACCATACTTCTACTGAAATGAGTAAGAAATAAACCTACTTCCCTACCAGCTGTTATTAGAGTAGTATTACAGTGAGGACTGCAAATCTTTCTCATATTTTCATTCTGCTTTAATGAATCTGCCAGAGATTGTAAAAGTGAGATGATCAAATAAACAGCGTAGCTTCCGCTGTTATCTACAGTAAAAATGAACTTCTATGCCTTAGGCTTATCATCATCGTTTTGATCCTAAATATTCCTCCTACACACATGCACTTCCACTGCTCACATGAGCATGTGGATAAAGACCCACAGAAATAAAAGACTGCAATTATCCTCAGTTGACTTATGTTATGAGGGAGAATGCTAAAATATTCTCCATCTCCTTCACTCGGTTCTCAGCACAGTTTCACTTGACCTGAAGAGAAATTTTCTTCATGGAGTTTGAGAGGTCAATGAACTCCTTATCACTCGGGAGAAGAAAAAAATTCAAGTAACAGACATTCAACACTGACAACATTTTAATTCAAAATAATCTCATATCAACAGAGAACTGAGCTGGATTCTCTAATAAAAGATTTACTTTGTGACGTGTATTAACAGGCATTCTAGAGATGATTTTTCTAACCTAAAAAGGGACGCAGGGGTAAGCATTATTGTTGCTTTCACTTGAAACCAAAAGTCAAATGACATACAGGGAGTAACAACAGAAGACTTAATTACAGCTTACCTATGGTCTTTTCATTTGCATTTTATCAATCAAGTGTTCATCATTGTTTAATAATGTTTTAATAGAATATAATTTTAAAACAAACAGACCACCATCAGACAGGCAAGCATCACAGATGCCTTGTTACAAGATGCAAAAGGGGAACAGGGTCTAGAATTGAAGAGACAGTACATCCCACAGGTGAGTCTGCTGTGCTAGAAACCTCCAGTTGCAATCATGGCCTCATGCTAAGTGTACGTTTTGACATTCAGATCCCTTCTCTATCACTTCAGATGCTACAAAACATGCTCATATAAAATACCAGAACCATACAGAGCATAAACAAAAAGCGATTCCCATTTTCCTTTCTGATATTCAGCCTGGAAGTGTTAAAGCCTCTTCTCTCTCAAGTTTTAGCGCTGCCACCCTTGCAGGAGAACCACGAGACCACAGTATGTATCAGGTCTGCTCTGGTGACTGCCTTGGCTCTGACTGCACCTCCCAGCACTTCCCCCTGATTAATTATTATGAGCTGCAAAAGGAAGGAGAGATGTGGAACACCACTTCTCTTACCAGTAACTCTGGCCACTCCCATGCATCTGTACCCATGTTCCCTGTGACCTGTCCCAAGGATGGCACATTTGGGAGGAGCGGGGGAGCGCTGTGCTGTGCACCCGCCTGGCTCCGAGCTCCCCGACGACTCTGCCTGCATCGATGGCGTAGACACCCTCAGTTAAGCCCTTGGTCTAATCTAAAAGCTAAGTAGCAGTGCAAGCAGTGTGGGCTTTAAAAACTGCTGTCAATATGCTAAATTTTAAGGTGCAAAAAATTTGTATTGATTACAAAGCTTCCTCTCCAGGCAAATCCAAGAAGTTGCTACTTCCAAGTTAGTCTCCAGCTCCTGGTCTGTCTAATTGGAAATAAAACTCCATCCTTGAAGAAAGAGTGGAACGACTAAGATTTCTGGTATCTCCTACGGGTCATTTCAGAAATTAAATTCTTTTCAGCCTCTCACTCGTGACTGCCATCCAAATAAAATAAGTGCAGTGACACTGTACTTACTTTGAAGAGTTATTGCACCTTATGCTGAATTAGCACTACATTTGATGACCAGAGCTTTGTAGCCCTCAGAACATACCCCTAAGTCACACTGATTTCCTGCATTCCTAGAAATGAGTCTGATGTGGAATATCCTCAGCAACATAAATTATAGATGTCTCTTACAAGGTCACATTCCTATTTCATGAAACAGCTGGTACTGGCTTCCCAAACTTAAAAAAAAAAATGCAAGGTTGCTCTATGAAAACCACTCAAAATATTTATTATAACTGTAAGGAAAAAAGAAAAAAAAGAGATGAAGCTGATAATTAACCTGATATAGCTATCTGGAGCTGTTACCTTTGGTTTGTGTGAAAGACCATAGTGCTGCAGTGCTTCTTGCTCCATATTTATCCACACAAACATCAAGCCAGACAGCACCAGTGGAAACAGAGCTTCATACCTGATGAGTAATGTAATAGTCATAGTAAGTGCCATCACTAACAACTATTTAACATCAAATACTGACATGTTCCTTTTCTTTTTCCTTCACACAAATGACATACCAAAGACCCAGTGGCATTCTCTCCCTTTTCTCCCCATTTCTGAGGAGTACCCACAGTTGGCTGGTTGAAGTTTAAAGCCAGTACAGTAATTAAAGGGTAAAAGTAGGAAAAACACAGGCTGCTTCAGCTTTGTCATATTTTGCACCCATTTTCTCACTTGATGGCTGCCACAACATTGGATGAGTGAGCGCCCTTTGTGTCATGATAAGTTTGAACAAAACAGGAATAAAATTAAAAAGAAAAAGAAAAAAAGAATCACATTTGGCACACATTTTCTGCAAAATGGAAAATTTTGTAACGGGAGCTGTTTGGAATTGGGGGTTACAGTCCAACCCAGACAGCGACTAGAAACTGTGTCTCTTTACGACTCAGTCACGCAAACTCATTCTGGTGATCTCAGTCAAGCTCCAAGGAAGAGACATCTGTATAATAAAAAGAGCATTACATTTCACTGAAGTGAAATTTCACCAAAATGGTCTTTTCTTTACTATATACCAATCCATTGCTATTACAGCATCAAGTCACACTCTAACGAAGGCCGCTAAGCTGTTCTAGCTACACCCCCAATCTCAGAGGAGTACTTCTGGCTCCTAGAGCACTCAAACACAGCAAACTGTCAGTGTACTTACATGCGAGATTAAAACCCACCGGTAACTTAGGCATGTAGACGGTCATGAGATAATACTAGTTTCTGCCTGCCCTCTACACATCAGCTGCACTTCACAGAGTCTCTCACCCTTTTGTCCTTTCAGGATGAAATTATGACTGTGACACTAATGCTGACAGTTTGGTTGGTTGTTTTTTTTTTTTCCCCCCATCCTTATACATGCATTTATTTGCCCAAAACCAAGAAAAATCACTGCAGTTAACCTTGGTATTTATTCTGTACTCCCTGCTAGTGTAGCTACAAAGCAGTTTCAAACTGAGACAAAATGTTCGGATTGACATTTCTGCTTTAATTATCAAAATGACAAGCTGTTAAACATGAAGATGACAACGATTGGGTTGTCAGTCACAAAAGTACCTACAATCCTCACAATGGTCTGCATTTGCCTATAATCAACTGAGTCAGTGACAACTGGTTGTATTCAGCCATGCTCTTCATCTGGCTTCAACACTTCCACTTAACCGCACCTAGAGAGGTGCTGTAAGTACCCGGGCAGTGCACCGGCTTATCATGACATGGTGCAACAGAGGAGCACTGAGGAGAGAAACACAGGATACTTTTGGCACTGACTGCCTTATTTTCACTATGACTCGTTGCTTTGGGGGTTTGGGGTTTTTGTTTGTTTGTTTTCTAAAGAATTGTTCCAAAATTTGTTAGTCTATTTGGACACTGCAGGAAGACAGCAAAGAGCTGTCAGCATTTAAGTGGTCTGATGCAGGGCCAAAATACAAAGAGGGAGGTTACCAGCCTCAGAGAGAACAACATTCATGCTTTATCCAGTAGCCAGGACAGGCTAAGAAGATTGAGGCTAAGAACGTGTGTGTGGACAGGATTAAGATTAGGAACAAAATCGTAATGGGGAAGGAAGAGGAAGGAGAGGCAGGAGATTTTATTTAAAAAAAAAAAAAAGAGAGATGCTTAATCTAAAATGAGAGTATCCACAGGAGGAAGCTATTGCAAAATGTCTGCTGCAAGATATTTTATTCCACTTAATTTTCCAGTGTAATTAAATCCAGAGAATAAGTGGGAGGGGAGGTGGAAAGAATGGTTCCTATACTCCCCATTCATTATGCTCTTAAGAGCTACTGACTCTGGAAAAAAAAGCATTGGCTGACACAGTGTTTTCTTCATTTACAAGCTCCAAGGAGGAGTCTTTTATCCAAAAAAGAGCAAGCCCTACTATTTATGGGGACTAGCATCCATTTGAAAAAAAATACTTCCATGACTATCTCTTTGAATAAAATTTTCCCTCATTTTAGGACTACCTGCTTCCTGTTGCACATCACTTAAACCATAACTAGACACCAGTGCTGAGCAGCTGGGAGAGACATCAGCTCCTTTTCTTCGTGAGCAGAAAAGCACAGGCCAAAACATGAAAAGACACAAACTAAACCAGACTTTCTTACTTCGGTGCAAGACTGTTTCAATACATACCCTTCCAGCCACTGCTTGGTCTAGCTGAAAGGAATGTTAACAAAAACATGTTTATAATGCAAGGAGGAATATGGAAGTTCCCCTGAAATGTTATTTAGAAAACTAAACCAGGGGATCAATGGTGAGACTACAGCTGGCAGCACATGTTACACCTTTAACAGAAATGTTCATGAGATTCGGCAGTTTTCACATTTAGCCCTTGATTTTCATATGTAAGGCCAATCCAAACAGAGTAAGAACGAAATACCCTGTGCTGAGGAGCAGGTAGGTGGACATCAGGGAGAGCAGAATGCTGAACAGTCTCTGGAAGAGAAATGTGGGGCTCAGTAACGGCAACACCGAGGAAGAAACTGCAACAAAAAGCCATCCGTCAGTCATGACGTGCAAAACGTTTCATCCTTGGTAACAAGATAACATTGTTAAATCTTGACACTTTATGTACAGAAATTCAATATTGGTCATATATCCCCTTCTATTTTCAGAAGTTGGTTTTGCTAAAGAAAACCCAATGTGTGGAATGCTTAATATTTATCAGAAGTAATTTTACTTCTCCATCATTTTAATACCCTGGCTTTCTACCTCACAGCCTCTATAATTTCTCATGAACTTACGTTAACAAGTCCTTAAGATGATGCAGAAGCACTACCCCAAAAAAACAGTCAAACCTGACTGTTTAATACGACTCTGACAACCACTTACCATGGCCCGGAGGACCTCCAGCAGCTCCAAGACTGGTTACAGAGCAACTGCTCCACTGTATCAGATTAGGAAACCTGACACATTTTGAGGTGCAGCTGAGAATACTGGTCAAAAAGATACAGAAACTATCAAACTATTAGCTTCTCTACTTGAAAGGTTTAAAAGAAGACTATTTAAGGAACTACAGGCGTCCCATCTATCATTTTTCATGCCTCTTGCCTTCAACTTGTAATGCATTTCTCTAATGCAGGTGTGGGATCTTAAAGCTGCATGTTGGTCCTTCATGCAGCCCATTGCTCAACTGCCCGGTCGGCCCTTGTTAGCAGAATCTGTTCTGCCCTTAAAGAGACTCCTCTAGCTGGGAAACTTCCACAGGTGAGGACAGGGCCCAACAGTTTGCAGGAGGTGAGGAAAACTGGGAAGAGAGGAAATGGGCTAGTGGAAGAGTGAGTAAAGAAGAAGAAAAGCAGAGGGAAAGCAGCCAGTGCTTGAAGCAAGGAAAGAGAGAAGGAAAAGCATTGCTGTGATTTAATTTTTAAACCTTATTTTTTTTTAAATATGAAAATTTTATGTATTTATAAAGAATTGACAAATAACATTGGTGTGATTCTTCACTGTCATGTAGCGCCCTCACATTACTGAATCATTCAAAGACTGCATCAAGAGTAAGTCATAATTAATAATCACTCTATTAAGGAACAGAAATAAAACTATACTATATGGAAAGTGCTCGCTTGTGCTTACTGTCACAGTATACATTAGGATTTCTAGTAAAAATATCAACAAAAGAGAGATGAGGCTGTTCCTAAAACCTGTGGGTCAGTATGTTTTATTCCCTGGCTTTCAGCCTTGGGCACTGAGAGGATTACAGAATAAGTGACTCAAGGGTGCTCCAGCTTTTCAGCCCCACTTGTAGCTTTCTATGCCTAAAAAAGGCCTGGCTCAAGAGGAACTCCAGGGACCTCACTGCAAGTCAGAACAGCTAGGAAGAAATTCAGCATGGCAACTGGCCTCTGCTAATAACACTCAACATGAGATGCGTATCACTCTCTGAGCACAACCATTAGAACAGATGAGTGGCTGGTAGGTGATAATTAGCCTTTCCCTTCCACATCTAATGTGACACACCAGATATTAACCATCAAAAGGCTTGCAGGTTTCTGGCTGACCTATACAAACGCCTGCACACCATTGTGACACCAGATTCTTCAAAATTTGGCAAGTTGCTATGACAGATTTCCCCTGATTAAAACTTTAAAGCATATTACACATTCATTTAGAAACATCTGCTAACATAAAGATGATTCTGAAGAACATGGGGAGCAGCTGGATTAACTTCATGCATCCTGGTTTTACCTCTATATATGTGTTTTATGTACACGGCACAACACATACGGTGTAATAGCTAAAGCCAGCTGGACACTGGCCTGCAGGAACCCGACCATCACTAATTCATTTGCCTGGTTCTCAAAAAGTCAGTCTTTCTTTAAAAAAAAAAAAGCTAAATTAAAACTTTAAACAATGTAGACTTCATATTTATCAGAATAATTAGCTGGGGATAGGGAAACAATTTGCTAGAAAACTTCAGAAGTCTTATTATCATACTGACATGATGATAATACTATTATTACAAATAAATAGTGATAATTGTGTGTTTCTGATTATATAAAATACACACAGAGGTGCAAAACGAGAGTTCAGTAAGTAACAGTGCCACAAGTAGGCAAAAAGATGGAGTTCAACCACCTGTAATGCCACCAACCTTGGAAAAGCTACAGTAAACCTTGGTACCTTAATTCTTAGGGTGCCACATTTGTGGTACACACTAGTGACAAGACAGATGCTCGTTGGCATTATGCTAGGGACAAGGCATTTCTCTCCAAGGGCAGTACTAAGGACACGTTGTAGGCCTTTGCTTTTTACCTGTTTAGTTCTGTGTTTAATTATGCAGAGCAACTTCAGCAAAATACAGAAAGCTCCTACCTTGTATCTCTCATTCACTTAAAATTCATTTCCAGTCTGAAAGTCTTTGCTAAAATATTCAATACTACCATGGCATCAAGTAGACTTTTTGGGTACATAGAGTTTGCTTCACTGTTAGCTTTATTTTTATTAGAAACATCACCCACAGCAAAGAGCATTTTTAATATACTTTTTCCTCAGAACTATAGGCACCTCTGACTGCCCAAATCATCTCTTAGATGAAAAATGTTTTCTCTCACCCTTACACAGGAGAGAAAGAGAACCTTTACCCTCAATTCCTGCTCCAGTAATCCAAGCAGGACATCACTGATTTCATTGACTTTACAACCACGAGGAATTCATCCACACAGAGATCCCCACCTACCTTACCAGGGTTCAAAGGGTTAGGAAAGCATGATGGAAAGGAAAATGCTTCTAGGAAAAACACATTACAAAGAGAGCATGGCTCACACACACAGCAATCACAATCAGCTATGTGTGTCTTGAATCAGCTTGCTTAAACAGAAGCAGGATTGCTAAAATTGACAAGATCTGCTAAAGTTAAAACAGTGTCACCAGTACAGGAATGCACAAGACATCCAGCAACTAGATAACAAGAGTCATAATTCTTCCATTAAGCTATATTTAAACTCCTGGTCTTGACTTTCAGCAAAGAGCTGCTATCAAACTTTGCATGGGATATGTTTAGCTCTAAACCAAATCCCACATTCCAGACCACTCAGGGATAAACAGTTCTTAACATTTTGTAATGGAGCCCTACAGAAATTATTTTATAGCTGAAATATGAAAGATAATGCTTTACTGTATTCCATAATCCCAGTGATAATTACATTTGTGCGGTTTAATCATCCTAAGATTTTAATTTTGGAGCAATGAAAAATCCATAGACTTGTAAATTTTTTTTTTTCTTTAATCATTAGGTTATAACAGATATCAAACATACAGCAGCATCATTAGTTCACAAGTATTTTGCAAGGCAGTTCTGAAAAGCACTTCCATACCCCAAGAATCTCCGCCACCACCTGCCACTTCAAGTTTCTATGGAAATATAGCAACAATCTTTCCTGACTCCCCTGTGCTTAACTGGATTGCTTGTAGAACAGCTGAGATCTCCCTTATCTGGCTCCATGTGAAACAAAAAGGGAATTTATACCATTATAACCCTAAAAGGGGTCCTCAAGATACTCAGAACAGTAAACACATGTAAGAACCATTAGGAGTCAAGTAAAGGAATATGTGCAAAAGTATAATATTAATAAAAACTTGTCGCTGCACCTACCCAACCCCAAACCCCACAAACTATCATCATACAAGTTTGGGAAGGGAGATGTTCTTACCTAGAGTCATCCAGCTAATAAATTGATTCAATATAGGCAATCCCTGTTTGTTCTTAAGACTGTCATGGGTACTGCTCACAACATACGTCGAAAGTGCAATGCTCAACACCTAGAACAAAGAAATCAGACAATCAAACACATAATTAATGTATGGATCTCTGCCATCCCATGCTAAATATGTAAATATACTTTAGAGTCACATAAACACCTCATCTGAATCAACATAAGAACAGGAAATTTGATATATATAGTGTCAAGTATTTCTACCTTTTTACAATTTATACTTTTAAAAAATTCCTTCTGGTGTTTCTGGTTGGTTTGGGTTTTTTTTGTGGGTTGTTTGTTTGGATTTTTTTACATTTCTATCATTTTTTATTTGTGCTACTTTCAAAGAGTTTAAACAAGTGCCCTGGATCACTGGTATGCTTTGACATGATATGCTCTTTGTCAGGAGTAACTCCTTAAACACTCACGTAAACCACAGAAAACATACGCCCCCAAGTTTTTTGAGGAGCATTTTTCCTCAAACAGCAATCACAAAGAACTAGCAGAACCCCCTGGCTTTGCTGCAGTATCAGGGAAGGGTAGTTGAGGCAAGAGCTTTGCATGGGCAGCATAGCTCCTGTGAGAAGAGACAGCAGCAGAGCAGATTGGAGATGGATTTTAAGAGGTGGAAAGAAGGTGCAATTTTGGCAGACTGTTCAAATGAAACTGTCTGAACCACCTCAAGCAGAGCCCTCTGCCTTGGAGAGCAGTGAAGCTGAAAAGGGTGTTTTCTTTTCTTGACTAATTCAAGAGACATCATTCAGTCATCAAGTAGGTGCAAAAAAACCTTAGGAAAATTACCCCATGAGTCAGTTATTTTTGAAAGATGACAATTATCCAAGAAAACGCTTGAGCCAAGTTTTCAATTACTGCTATTTATTCACAACTCTGCAGTTCCACTAAAAGGCAAATCAAGCATGCACGGTGCTTTGCAAACATGTGCTTTAAAACTGCATTACAAGATATAATTGCTGTTGTGGCTTTTTTAGTGCAAAGCAAGTACACACTGTTCACATCCCTCACTTTTTACCATATGAATAGCTGCCATTCCCCTGTCAGACACATCCAGTGATACCCAGTGGTACCTGCCCAGAGCACACACTTAGCCCTCCGTGTTGCTTTCTGGCCTGGTTTCACAGGTACTCAGTATCTGCTGCTTCTATCTAATTTCAGGCCACAAGAATATGTAACTTGTATTTCTGTGTAACATCAATAAGCTAGGTCAAAGCCTTAAGCCTCCAAAAGCTCAGGGAATTGGCCCTTTTAGACCTCCAATGTTTATTTGGGATACTTTTGCTGTATCCAGGCTAGATCTTTCCTCTTTTATATATCTTTTCAACTTCTTTTAGCATCATGAGCTCTACTAATCCCTCTGCTATCCCCTAGCCACTGGTGAAGTCACCTTGCACTCACTTTGTGTCATCTCCCATAATGTATCTTTTTCCTTGGAAGACCTGTGATGACCTGGGCACGTTAATAAATCCAATTTACTGCTCCTAGATCTATGCCAGTGTCCAGGGAAGGGCCCAGCATTTCCTTTTGAGACTTGTGGTCGCAGTTCAGGTAATGTTCAAACTGCTCTCAGCTTTTACCAGCATCTCCAGGACTGTGGAACAGCACAGGTGCAACTTGGAGATGCAAACTGAGTTACGAATCTGTCTTCTTTCCCCTTTCACAACCTTCTTTGAAGTTCAGAGATTATTCTTCAACAGCTTAGAGCTGGCCTCTGAGAAACGCTTGTCTGTAGGTCGTAGCTAAAGAGAGGAAAGCAAGGGTGATATCTACAACCCCAGCACCCCTTCCCCAGCAGCACTGGCTGGGAGCTCCCCTTTGCACCTAAGGTGACAACAGCCCATAGAGAGAGAGGCAGGAGAACCAGCCCCACCAGCTGGACTGTACACAAGGCTAACTGAAAACACTCCTCCTGCACTCTCATTCCACCAATACAACATGGAATCCTCCTGTTTATTTCTCCTCCTAATTTAGAGGAGAAAACTAATAAACTGACCATCTGGGATCCACATGAAGCTCAAGTCTCCTAGGAATAATATCTTGGCCCAGTATTATCAACCAATGGGAACAGCAGTGGTTTTGGTAGTGCAGCAAGAACTGGACATCACCTACGAAATGCTGGCAAAGAGAAACTGGTGTTTACTCCAGAAAAATAATTTGAACAGTAAGCACTGCAGCAGTCTAGCTGATGGATTAGAAATAATTCCCATTTCTACCATTCCTGAAGCCTTAATGACTTCTCAAAGATGGAAGAAGCATTAACCAAAAGACAATTCTCTCCTTGCCACGGCAAATAAAATTCAGCAGAAAAGATGTTATTCCTGCTTTAACGATATCAAGAGAAAACCCGAGACATTCTTGGCAATTTTCAGAAACTGTGAGGGTGTAATTAGTATCTTTTGCCTCAAGCAGTGACATGTATCAAAACTTCAAAATTAGTTTTGAACATAACTGAAGTTTTTGTAACAGAAATGTAACCATATGAAGTTACTCAAGATTACATTTTTACTTTTAAAATTTCTCTATACACTTTTGCTGAAAAATCTTTTTGATCATGATGTTTGATTGTCTGGGAATTTTTTTGGTTTTTTTTTAAGGCTAATACCCATGTTGGAAATCTGTAGTGTGTAGGTATAAAAACCAGCGAATAAATGAGTCGCCTGTAAAAGGCCTCTCAGATACAGGTATGTAGTTCATACTCATTGGCTAAGGTGTAGACTCTGTACCACCCAGGGAGAAACCAACATGTGAAGACACAGTTCTGGACTGGATGAGAGTGGATTATCTTTTCCATGTAAGATTACATGCAAACTAGCAGGTTTTTTGCCTACTCTGAGGGTCTCTGCCAACTGAGGTTTCTTTCTGACCTAAAGGTAATGGAACAAGCTTTGTTCCTTACCAGGCATGACACCTTCACTACAGGCTAATTCCCAGATGGGAAAGGAAGCTCACTTGGATAAGAAAGAAGAAAGTTGTTTTCAGAAGAGAAAAAAAATTAAGAGGGGCCAGCAGGTCGAGAGAGGTGATTCTCTCCCTCTACTCTGCTCTGGTGAGACCCCACCTGGAGTGCTGCGTCCAGCTGTGGAGCCCTCAATATCAGAAGGATATAGACCACTTGGAGCGAGTCCAGAGGAGGCCACAGAGATGCTCACAGGGTTGGAGCACCTCTCCTATGACGAAAGGCTGCAAGAATTGGGCTTGTTCAGCCTGGAGAAGAGAAGGCTCCGGGGCGACCTTATTGCAGCCTTCCAGTACCTGAAGGGGATACAAGGAAGCTGGGGGCGACTTTTTACAAGGGCCTGTAGTGACAGGACAAGGGGTAACGGGTTTAAATTGAAAGTGGGGAGGTTTAGATTGGATATCAGGAAGAAATTCTTCCCGGAGAGGGTGGTGAAGCACTGGAACAGGTTGCCCAGAGAAGCTGTGGATGCCCCATCCCTGGAAATGTTCAAGGCCAGGCTGGACGAGGCTTTGAGCAACCTGGTCTAGTGGAAGGTATCCCTGCCCATGGCAGGGGGATTGGAACTAGATGGTCTTTAAGGTCCCTTCCAACCCAAACCATTCTATGATTCTATGATTCTAATCATAAGCAGAACAAAAAGCCTAGGCTATGCTGAATTCCTCACTTTCTCTGACTGAAATAGGAAGAGAACGGAAAATGGAAGTGTCTATTCACATGCAATTCCAAAATAACTTGTGAAGAACAATTCAGGCAAATAAGAACTCCTTTAGCTTTTGGGAAATACTATCTTATTTCTTGCACGAAAATGCATCTCATCCCCAATGAGCAGATGCAAAAAATTGAGGTGGCATAAAACGAAAGATTTAGAAGAGGGTTCTTGCACACAGATATGACCAAAACAAAGAGGAGAAGGATTTAAAAAAATACAAAGGGGAGTCAGGGGATCCTGATTAGAGAAGTATGGCCAGATCAGTAGGCTTTTTGCCAAAATGATAAAAACTAGGAACACCAGCTATTCCTTCCCCATTGTGTAATTCAAAGGCTTTTAATCAGAGCCAAACTTATAAAACATGCTAGCAGAGTGGCTGAGTGATTCCACAAGAAAAACCATAAAGAGTATGAGGAATGGACACCATATTTTCACTTCTAATTCAGTGAATACTTGGAGGAAAGTGGCACACAAAGAATGATGACCTGTAGCAAATTAATCCATCTTCTCATTTCCCCAAATGAAGAAACATCAAACAACCAATCTTAGCTTCCTGTCTAGGAAGGAACAACATTATAAGAGGAAAGCATAACCTTCAGTGACTGCCTCCAAACTCCACAAATGGGGGAGCTGCAAAAACAGCTTTTAAGAAACCCCATCAGATGCAAAGCAGGAACCTGATCGTGTGTGCTCATGTACGTGAATGTCAGGACCCTGATGACTGTCTGTCATGGCAAAATAGGTGTTTCAACTCACTAGAGGGTTCACGTCACCCTTAAAACTGCCTGGGTGTTGTAAAAATTAATGCGTTCAAAATGCTCCAAACCAGCATTTTTGAAGATTACCCCCTTCCCTGATCCCACTGAAAACCCCAACTGAAAAGAAAAAGCAAAACAAGGGAAATCTTATATCTAGAAATACTAGTCTTCTGACAAAACATTTTCCTTTTGTATTTCTGTACATTTCAAAGCAAATAAATGCAACCTAACCTCAAAACAAGTAATTTACTTAGAAACGGGTAATGTCTCTGTAATGTCTTTTTTCCCTCTTTAAGCCTGAATAATCTCCCCTCCCAATCCTTTCCTGACCCAGAGTGTGAATGGTGCAACCCATGTTTTCCATTCCCAAGTAAGCTTCTGAAATAAAAATCTAATAGAGACTAGCAATTAGACATCACTGTTGTAAAATATCCTCTGATTAAGGAGCACTTTGAGGAGCTTTATGATCTTCTTAAATGTTTGGAGAAAAATGAAGACATTAATCCCTGAACAAGCAGGCAGAACATTTTCATCTAATTAAGTATCTCAGGGCTCTCTGAGTGAATTTCCTGTTTCTCTAAAGTTGGCTCAAGAATAATCTGGCATTACTTCTTGACTACAGA